TGATTTTTAAATTGATCAATTTAGATGAGTGAACGAGAAAGAAGAACACTGACCTATACCTTTTTCTTTCTTTTTTGGCCAATCAATTCATTTTCATTGCTCACCATATCCAAAATTACACTCATTTTTATATAATAACCTTTCCATTATTTTTTTTTAAATAAATTCACAAGGCACGGGTTCGAATCGTTACCTTGAGATAAGGAGAATGCACAAATTAAAAAATAGTTATTAATTTGGTAAAATAAACATAGAATTAATAAATTGTATACAAATTGTATTTTGTATAAAAATTATATTTTGAATTTTTTTTATTAACTCAACATATTTTATAACACATTTATTAACAAATTATTATTTTTAAATTTAAATTTAAGATAAACAAATTTTAACTATAAAATTAATTACTAAACTAATAAGTATTGATAGATGTGTTAAATCAAACACTGAAAAGAATGCTAATTATTTTTTTTTCTTGTTTTACTTTTTTTTATTTTTATAGTATAATATTTTTAAACTATTGTATTATATTAATTATATTGACTATCATTTTTTATTTTATTTTTATTTTATAATAATTATATAATATAATTTAATTAACTAAATTAAAAACTAGGACAATTCTAAACTATTATTTATATAAATAAAAACTCTACTCTTAAAGCCCTTTATTTGTAAGTAACAACAGTTTAACCTTGTTTGTGATGGTTGTCTTATTAGTACTATTATTTCGTTTTCGGTAATATCAGTATGTTTTATAATTGTATTTTTTATAATTTGATATTAAAATTTTTTATTTAATTAAATATATTTTAAATAATATTAAAAATAAGTAATCTCACCAAATTATATCCATTCAATTAAAATTAAATTAATTTAATTATAATATAATAATAAATTAATTTCATTTCATTTTAAAATATTAAAATTACAATGTGAACACCCTAACCACCATCTTTTTGGACCCAGACAGGGCCTGCCCTTTTCTCACATCATCTTTTTCTGTTTAACGAAAGGACCGATGGTTGGCATAATTATAAGTTTGGGACCACTTGTGGCACAAAATGAGGGATAAGGACGAGGATAAGGTTGCCCCAGCAGTATCTTAACCACAAAATGAGGGATAAGGACGAGGATAAGTTCTGACCTTTTGTCACATATCATTATTTCTGACAAAATTTTTGAAAACGAAACCTTTCGTCAAGCTCATTTCAATTATTAATGAGACATAATATTTTATTATTATTGTAAAAATATCATCGAATTAATTTTATTTGATAAAAAATAATATTATTTTTAAGCTTTAAAATCGATACGCAGCACATTTTATTTGACTAATTATTTTTTTTATAACTATATCTTGATTTTATTAAAAAATAGTTATTAGTTTGTTAAATAATATTTAAAAATATCAATTAATTAATTAATTTAAATTTATTAAGTAATAAATATAAATGATTTTATTAATTATTAATTATTAATTATAATTACTAACAATTTTTATTAATTAAATTAAATAAAATTAATATTTTAAGAGTAATATTTTATAATTTTTAATGATCTTAATATTAGAAGGGATGACTATAACCACACCTAAGGTTATTTTCATCCAATTTAAATTGATTAATCTAACTAAAACGCATTTAATTTTATTAAAATTCAATTTAAACCATATTAATTTGAATTGATTTGGATTATAAATTGTTAAAATTGATATAATTAGTTTTGGTTGTAATTTTACTTTTTAAACTAACTGATCCACTTAATTATAAAATAAATTAATTAAATAATATAATATTTTTACTTTTTTATTTTTTAGAAAATATTTTTTAAAATTTTTTGGTAAAATAAACATATAATTAACAAATTGTGTACAAATTGTATTTTGTATAAAATTTGTATTTTGAATTTTTCTACTAACTCAACATAAAATAACATATTTATTAAATAATTATTATTTTTAAATTTAAATTCAAAATGAGAAAAATTTAAACTGTAAAATTAATTATTAAATTAATTAGCAGTTGTTAACAAATGTGTTGAATCGAAAACTAAAAAGAGTGCTAATTATTATTTTTTCTTTCTTGTTTTACTTCTTTTATTTTTATAATATAATATTTTAAATTATTGTATTATATTAATTATATTGATTATCATTTTTATTTTATTTTTATTTTATAATAATTATGTAATATAATTTAATTAACTAAATTAAAAACTAGGATAATTCTAAATTGTTCTTTATATAAATAAAAACTCTATTCTTAAAACTCTTTATTCTTTTAAGTCACAACAGTTTTACCTTACATGGTTGCCTTACTAGTACTATTATTTCATTTTCAATAATATTAGTATGTTTTAAAATTATGTTTTTTATAATTTGATATTAAAATTTTTTTATCTAATCAAATATATTTTAAATAGTATAATATTAAAAAATAATTAATCTGACCAAATTATATCCATTCAATTAAAATTGAATTAATTTAATTATAATATAATAATAAATTAAATTAATTTAAAAATTTTATTAATCAATTAAATTAATTTAATTTTAAAAATATTAAAATTTGATCCATTTCACAATGTGAACACCCTAACTACCATTTTTTTTGGACCCAGACACGGCCTGCCCTTTTCTCACATCATCTTTCTCTGTTTAATGAAAGGACCGAGGGTTGGCATCATTATAAGCTTGGGACCACTTGTGGCACTAAATGAGGGATAGGGATGAGGATAAGGTTGCACCAGCAGTATCTTGACCTAAGCGCAAATTTAAATTTTTATTGGGACGATTATAATATATACATTTTAAAAAAAATTTCTGTTAAAAAAAATAGAGGAGATGGTTAGGCGTCGAAAAATATCATTTCGCTTTAAATCAAAACTAATATTTGATAAATTGAGTTTTTTAAAATTTTAAAACCAAAACCAAAACGAAAATATATAAAATATTTTAGTTTGGTTATCCTAAATTTCGGTTATTATGAATTTGATTTCAATTTTAATCAATAATTATCGAATATAAAAGCAAGATAAAATATTAAAATATCAGATATAAATATAAGAGAAAAAAATGTAAATATCAGATATAAAATATAAAATATATAATTATTTGAGTTCTTTTTTTTTTAGGATAACACTTCTCAGTGAGATTAAATAAGATGATTTTTATACTTATTTATAATATTAAAATAAAAATATTATAATTATAATATCACAAGATATTATAATTTACAAGATGATGTATCGTTATATAATTAATATTTTTATTTAAAAATTTACTTATAATATTAT